AGGCGACAATTCTAAGAGTTCGTGAAGGTATCTATAGAAAAGAGAGAATTTGCTACCAAGGTTAATTGTGATGTTTGAGCCTGAATAGAATCCAACGACAGGATATAGCTAACGACATATAAGTTCTGTCAAAAAAGTAATACTTTCGTGAATCTCTCCAATCTTGGGAACAAAAAAAATCGCAGGGGGGCAAATCTGGTGAATACGGTGGCTGAGGTACAATTACTGTATGGTTTTCGACCAAAACGTTATAAACAAGCAATGGCGACTGAGCAGGTGCATTATCGGAATGCAAAAGTCATGAATACTTTTCTCACAATACCAGACGTTTTCTTCGTATTGCAAGCAGCTTATAACTTCAATATAATACTTCTTATCGACCGTACAACCATCTGACAACAACTCCTGTTGTATTACGCCACGGCAATTGGAGAAAACAGTGAGCAAAACTTCAACATTTGATCGAACTTGGTGTCCGTTTTTTGGTCTTGACTCCTCTGGATTCCTCCATTGGGACGATTGAACATTGGTTTCTATGTTATAACCATATACCTATGATTCGTCATCAGTTATTTACTTTTAAGCAAATTTGGGTTGTCGTTGACGTCATTCCTTCAGCAATTTTGGAACGAACTCCGCTTTATGACCAAAATTTTTGAAAAAAATGCATGGCATGAGCCAATTGATATGCTGACATCCTCAGAGATACTTCTAATAGTGATTCGACGATTCCTCATGACAATTTTCTCCACTTTCTCAACATTTCCATCAATTGTTGATATGCTGGGGCGTCCAGGACGATCGTCTTCATTGACATCTTCTCGACTTTCTGTGAAAAGCTTGTAAACTATTTCCAATACCTATTGAAACAGTACAGAGAAGGAATTCCCGCCTCGACATAAGCGTCGGCATATTATTTTTCAATTGGATTGAACACACAAAAGTAAGGAGGCAAACATAAGAGAATATGACCACGTGTTTCACACATCGAATCAATAATATACTCTTTTTTGAAATTACGTTGTTTTATGGTCGCCGGTAATACTTTTTTCATTGGAATCTTTTCGAGTATTTTCATGTCATGATTTCGCATGAAATCAACAATATCTGCTTTTTTTATGTTATTGTTTGGTATTGTAGTCAATAACCAAAAATGATACGAAGCGTTATCCATAACAATAACAGAGTTTGAAGGAATATTTGGGAGAAGCTGCTCACTGAACCAGGTTTCGAATAAAGCCGCAGTCATATCTTCATGGTAATCAGCAGACATGTCTTTTATATTTTTGTCCGACAGAAACAAAGCGTTAGGTACGAAACCACTTTCATTCCCGGTATGCAAAATTATAACACGTTTTTCCCTTGAAGAAGGTGTGTTCAAAGCACAATCATGGCTGTCAAACCAAGTTCCGTCGAGTAGATTGTATGTCTGCTGGATTCTCGGTAGCTTTTCATTCGCCTCAAATATTTTTGTCGGAGTCGAACAATGTGTGTCGATTCCATTATGACCATCCGAGTGTTCAATTTTTTATATTTGAAACCACAAGACAATAAGACACCTTGTGAAGTTTCTAAAGATTTGTAATTGTAATCGGGATAGTCGAGTAATTTATACCAAATCATTTTCAAGGTTGGTACTTCATTTTTTTGGTATATACCATAAATTGCTCGCTGAATCACATCTTTTGTAGCACCATCAATGTTTGCGAATTTTTTATTCTTTTGTTTTCGTTTCATGGTCAATGATATCCCCTATTTTGGTGACTAGAAGAACTGTCAAACGAGATAGTCTTCTTCAAACATTCATGAATATTTAAAATAACTCGCTGAACTTGAACATGTGAGTCCTTATTTTCAAATTCCGGATCCCTGTCGATTGACACAGATTCCTCACACGTAATGTTATCATTTGTTTCTAAAGCTTTCCAGAAAGCCATATTGATGAAAGTACCCAAAAACACTAAGATTTTCACAAAAATCGGTTTAAATGATGAGATTGGAACCTTTGGTGTAAAAGTTGAAAACTTTTTCTAGAGATCAATTACCCTAACACCAAACTGATATTTTTGAACTCGACGCGCGTTTCGCTAACAAGGTTAGCATCTTCAGGAGAAGCAAATTGATACTGAATCTAAAGACAAGGGTTAGCTGTTTATATACCTAAAGCTTTTTGGTCCGATGTGGACTTTGTTTGTTTAATGATGATTATCCTAATTGATTTTTCGGTAATTAACTAGTGGAACCACTACCTGCAAATTAATTTGTCCGCTTTTTAATCTATTGTTGACAAATTATTTTGCAGGTAGTGGTTCCACTAGTTTATTACCGAAAAAATCAATTAGGATACTCATCATTTAACAAACAAAGTCCACATCGGACCAAAAAGCTTCAGGTATATAATTAGCTAACCCTTGTCTTTAGATTCAGTATCAATTTGCTTTTCCTGAAGTTGCTAACCTTGTTAGCGAAACGCGCGTCGAGTTTTAGGGTAATTGATCTCTAGAAAAAGTTTTCAAAAATCGGTTTGTATAACTACTCAACACCTCACCTAGCCCCACGAACACACGGCACTGATAAAAAAATATTGTGAAACGGACAAAAAATTTGTTTTCAGTCAGTCCAGCTAGCCAAGCCTTCATTCCTCAAGTACATTTGATATCACGTTTACTAACTATCTGGGCGACTAGGGGCCACAGGCAAGAAATGTTCAAGACCTTACTCTTATTTTTATTGCCGTTTCAATTGGGAATGGATAGACTATACCACTTTTAAATTTTTTTTTGACTCAGAGTGCAATCACCGTATGCCACTGTCAACATTTCGAGTGTTTTTGAGCATTCAATTTAATTTTCTACGCAAATTCTTCAATACACTTTTTTGATAGCAGAAAATTGTCGGATACGCAAAAACTTCTAAGAGAAAGAGAGAGAGAAAAGAGTGGTTTTTCTGGATTTTAGTCAGTTAGGAAAGTAAATGGGTTTTTGCTTTATCAGGGGCTGTGATATAAAAGAGGACATAATAGATATAAAACATAATAAAGGGTGAAACAGTTACATACTTGTGCTATGTGAGGAAATTTTCTTCAGAATTTTCAATTTTGAATGAATTTAACATGACAATGTCAATTTTTAGACCTCAAGAAAATGTTAGAATATTTTTTCCCATTTCGTGTATCGTGGTGATTCATTTCCTTTCAATAGTACAGAATGTATTCTGTTTTTTGGTGTGATTACAATAATTTAAGAAGAATAATAATATACTTTATTGTCCAAAGAAAAAAGTTTGTTGACAAAGTTAGTAAATAAATATAAAAGAATACATAAATGTCATATGAATATAAAAAAAGAGAAAAAATATAATGTTAACCTAAGTATAAAAACACTAAATAAAAAACCACAAACAGTGGTTGAAACATACACAGACATAAAACATGCTAAGTTAAAAATGATCGGTATAGAACTCAGTCAAACTGTAATAGGGTCTACTACTCAAAATTTCTTCAATCATTTTTCTGTACTGATTGTTATCAATATTTATCTCTTCAGTGTAACTCGGCAGATGGTTATACATCTCCACACCATTGTAAAATAAGTATCGTATAGCTTTCTTCTGTAATACAAATACAGACTCCAGCAAATTGAGGCTACACCCAACCCAAATAGGTATACCTACCGTACCTTGATTGAGACTCTACCAAAGCGTAATATGCTGTTTTTGCAGTATAAACTCCCAGTTCTCTAGCAATAACTCTCACTGCATAACAGCCGGTGGAAATTTTACTTTTCATTTTTCTGATGTGAGCGTCAAATTTCAGTCTACTGTCTATATACAGCCCCAGAAATCTAGTACACTCTCTGTTCTCAATAATACCGCTCGCTACAGATAAATTCTGAAGTGAACATTTGAAAGTCATAATATTTGTTTTTCTAAATATTGAGGGAGACTAGATTGGAATCACACCAAGACTTAATTTTTTGTATATCATGAGCTATTGTCTCATTGAGTATATCTATACCTTTACTATGCCACAATATAGTGGTGTCGTCAGCGAAAAGAGTGAATGTTCCAAATGTACTTATGTTCATCAAATCGTTAATATACAACAGGAACAATATGGGACCGAGAACCGATCCCTGTGGTACACCAATATTCATTTCAATACTGTTTGAACATTTAATCGTTTTCACAATCTGACTGCGACCATTGAGATACGACTCAAACCACCGTAGTGTTATCCCTCTACATCCGTAGATATTCAGCTTTCGTAGCAGTATTTCATGATCAACGCAGTCAAACGCTTTTGTAAGGTCACAAAATACTGCTGCAGCAGCATCTCCATCATTCATATTGGAATAAACCTCAAACAGGAAAGAGAATATTGCATCATGTGTGTTCTTGTTGCTCTGGAATCCAAATTGATTTTTCTTTATAATGTTATGGCGAAGGAGAAATTCATTGAGTCTGTTCTTAACTAGTTTTTCAATTAGTTTTGCAATAGTAGGAATGAGAGATATTGGTCGATAATTTGAGGGATCATCTACAGAGTTACCTTTATATAAAGGAATCACTATCGACAATTTTAGAAAGGATGGAAACCTGCCATTTCTGATTGAAAGATTGATTAGTGATACAAGAGTTCTGAGCGCTTCTATCGGAAAATTTTCAATAATTTTGTTTGGAATTTCATCATAACCAGATGTTGATTTATACATTATGTGATTGGCTGATCATTGTCTAGACTAGAGTTCTGGTTCCACTCCGAACCAGATTAAAATAAAAAGCAATTCTAAGAGATTGCCGAAATGAAAATTGAAGAAGACAATATTAACAAAAAACGAGATATCGATAATCCTCTTTTGATGTACTGTTTGAAACCTTTGGTTTAGTAAAGAATGTCACTGGAGTTTTATCCCAACACCAAGCCATCATTTTTAAGACCTCGACATGTGTTTCAATCTCCAAAAAGAGAATAAATTGAGTTTATTCTTCCTCTTGGAGATGGTCACGTGATGAGGTATTAAAAATAACGGTTTGTTATTGGTAACATTCATCGATAATCGTAGCAAAACTCATTCATTCCTACTAGGAGATAAAACCTGGTTACATCCTATGATATCAAAACGATGTCAATCACCACGATGAATGAAATTTAGCACAGGTATGACATCTGTTGAGGATGTTTGGAAATAAAGTGAACCAGAGAAGAAAAACCTGCCAGTATTCAGACACAAAGTCTGATTCTTTCTGGTTCAACTTTTCATATTCATTATTGAATGAAAGTCATTTTTCCAACGTAGACCTTGTCAAGGTCATCTGCATAAGTTTGCAGATCTACTTTTCTTCTGTATATCTATCAGCAGCGACCACAGAAGGGGAGAAGGGGAGTACCCCAAAGAGAATGTAGGCTGTTCAATTCATTCCCATCTTGTTTCAGGGACAGCTTTATCATTTGATTTGAAACAGTCATGTTCTTCGCAAATATGTTGTAGAGGCTAGAATCTATAGATGATATTAATAATATTCACAGAAGTGTTGATAAAAAGTCGAATATCATTGTTTTTTTATATCGAGAATACGGTTTATAATATTCAACAACATATTCATGGAAATTTTTTCAAAAAACTTTTCATCAATTAAAAATCTCTATAACTAAGTCCATATTCGAACTAAATATGAATATTGATAAAATAAATGTTCAGTTCGAATCAGTTGCAGGGTAATTCTGAAACATGAATAATTTTTTGTAAAATATAATTGCAAAAATTCGTCATCCTTGTCTGCAAGATTTTTCCTGTTTGGACGAAAACTTACCTCATAGGCAACGTACGTATTGATCACTATCTGAATGGCATTGTAAATTATTATAACATTCCTGAGATCGAAAGGTTTGCGGTTTTTCATGAGCTCCGGTCCCAATTTCAGGACGAAATAAAGATATAATCCCACAAGAATACCCGGTTCAAAAGGCGAGGACATCAAAAACAGACCCATCTCCATGGGCCTGGGATCTGGAAACAAATAAGAATTTCAATTCACTTTTGACAATAATAATTGAAATATAATCCAGAGCTTTTAGATGTATACTGCTGACAAAAGTGTAGCCTTGTTTTGTCGTGGCAGAATCCTAAAACGTTTTAGTCGATGTCAGAGTCAAAATATTTCAGGAGAGACTATTTTTTTTGTTAGATTCAATGTTTATATGGAAATAGTTGTTTCGAGAAGGCTTTTCTACACATCTTTGTAAAGAATCAATTTCGAAATTGATTGCTTTTTCCGTTCCATCAGAAATTTCTAACATTTTCTCGTACGACGATAGAGAAGTAGGAAGCAAAAATTTTTTTCCAAAAATTATCGTATTTTGTCACCGTTTCCAAATCATCGTAATGAATTAACGATATGATTGACTGATATCTGAAGAAAAAACAATTGGAACTTCCAAATGTAATAATTGAGATTTGAAAGTAGAAGGGGAATAATTCCAAGGGCTCCAATAATCAAAACAACCATTTTGACAAAATGATCAGGATAAATTCTGTGAAAAAAAATTCGAATTTTGTTTCGTCTTGCTCTAATAATCGTGAACAACTAAATAAGGCTTTCAAAGTTGTGTGAGCCTGAAGGTTAGGAACGAATAGTTCCAATGAATTGAGACTCCTCGTTCCCCATCATTCCCCGGAGCGTAGAGCAATATCGGTGTCTCGTCAATACCGTGCGAGTGCCGCAGGCAGCAATAAACACTCTCAGGGCCGCGTTATGTCAATGGATATAGACCGAGACCGCATATGCTGGACATGCTGATAGCAAGTGCATTAGGTTCTCGGATGCCTCGCGGCAGGCCCTGCACCTTGTGTTAGGAATCTCTATACTTATCGGGCGACTGTGGTAGACATAATCCTAGCAGGTCATGACAAACCTCCCAGTTTTCGACCTCAGCTCACTTGACCTGAGGCAAGCCAAAGTCAGGCGCTTTCATAAGCCAAGGTCTTCAATGTTGTTGGCTCACAAGGATAAGCTTTGGCGTATCCTTGTGAGATGATCTCTGCGAATTTTATATGAGCTTTTTGCTGAACGGGTTCCAACTCGATGATAGAGTTGGAGTCACCTCGTTCAGTGCCAAGTTCACCAGTTGGTTGGTCAGTTGTCCTCATTATTATCACATTATTATAACTTCGATGCAATCAATAAAAAGACGACAATTCTAAGACCTTCACAACCGTCGGACTATGGTGAAAAGTCAGAGTTTGCAGTAAAGATCTACAGAAAATATGTAGATATACAGAAATGATGTATTGGCAGTGCACATATTATGGTCTTTTGGTTTGGGGACCAATGATGGAACAAAGTACAAAAAAACTTATACTACTACATCCATATCTTGTTATAACGAGGTGGGCAAGAGTAAGCCAAACCAGTTTGAATAGTTGTTCTAGCTTTAGAGTATCGGGCCACTGATGAACTCTAGAGTAATATCAAAATTGGTTCCAGGAAAGTCGTGAAAAACTGAAGACTTTCAAAAGATATTCTTGAACATTTTTGAATTATAGGCAATGGAGAATAATGGTGAATAGAATGAATACAATGAACTGTGTTGATTTTATTTTACACGCATTATATTAGCCTGTATGTATGTATGTATGATTGTTTGTATGCATGTTTGTTTGTAACTCTCAAGCTTCGGATCTGTGCTGACAGAACTATCAGCATTATTGCTTGCTCTATTCGCAGGCAGATGGCGCTGTATGTAACCTACT